ACATAAAGTATGTACTGCATTCTGAGATCTGTCTGTGTTGATTCAATAAACCTGTTTGTTTTTTCATTGTAAAAACAGATAAATGGATTAAATATTTGAAACTTTAGAAAACGTTCTACAGCTTATGTAATAGCTTCTACAAATAAAATGTTTTATATGTGATATTTGTGTGAATTCATAGCTTTGAAATTTTGAAACGATTTCATTGCAATATGTTTTTTAAGAAACAAAATATCAACCTTTGTTGTAGGTTTTACTTGACAGATCTTCGTATCTCTCTACAATTGTGTAAAATGTTCTTATTTTATTTTATAAGACAGTAAATTTTACCTTTGATTTTAATTCAGAAATACTGCATGTAATTTCACTGTTTATCACCACTGCTGTGATTTTCTCTACCCATGCTGATGATGTCTTCAAATTTTCAAGCCCTTGAAAAGAAAGATATCCATTATAAATCAGTTTAAAAAGACTTCAGAATGTGAAATTACTAATCATAGAATTTTCTGAGCAAGTAATCTTTCATTTTTTATTCATCCCTTCCAATTAAAACAAATTTAGCATTTTTTATTGATTTCTTCTAAAACAATGCCTGTGTGTGTGTGCGTGCTTAAATATCTGAGAATTATTAGTGCCTGTTTAAAGCTTGTATAGTCTGAAAAGGCTAATATTTTTTTAACTTTGCCTAATTTAAGATATATTTCATTTACCTGTTTGTAAAGTATGCTTTATAATGAAGATTAATAATAGGATTAATTTTTTGCTTACAGGTAATCTTTTTTTTTTCAAATTATTTCTAAGTTTTCATTTGGCTTTTATTATCACTGTCATCATTTATTTTACAGAAAAGAAACTTCACCATAGCTTTCAAGGCAGCTGAATCTGTGGGAATTTCTACAACACTGGTAGGTTCTTTACCATTGTAATTTATGTGAGATTTGTCAGAGTTCAATTTAAGAACGTAACTCGACCACATAGTTTCATTGTTATGTCTCGTCACACACAGACAACCAATCTCCAGATCATGTTTAGCCTGTGTAAGGTGTTATGTACCATAATAACTGATATCTTATAAATGACTGATGTAAATAGTGTCTCGACCAAGGTTTTGTGTGTTACACACCAAGCCAGTGAACTCTTGTTTTGAACAAAGTGGCAACATGTGCTCAAGATGCTATTATATTTTTTTTACTGGAAACCCATATAGAGCCAGTCATGGAAGATTGGTAAAGAAATTATCCATCAATATATATAAAAGCCAAGTGTCGGTTGGTCATGCTCGATTTCTCCAAAATTCATGAGTAACACGACTCTGATTCCACTTTTTTTTCTTGTATAACATTTCTTCTTTTGATTGCCTGTTTCCATTTTAGTTGAATTTAATCACTAACATAGGTGTAAATAGCTCCAAAATTTCAGCACTTTTTCTGCTATATAAAAGCTTGTCAAGGAGAGAGTTCCCAGGACCAGATCAGGCCTGTCATATGTGTGATACCACATCAATATGACGTCAATCTAGGTAGGATCTGAATAGGATAGTGGGAAGACTCCCGTGGAAAAAAAAAGTAAAAAATTAGTGCAAATCTGTGCTTGGAAATTATTACAAAAAGCCTTTGTTAAAACAGGCTGAAGATACCAATTATCTGTAGGGAAGAGGATGACTTTTCCTCAGAAGAAAAAGAGCAGGTTGTATGCAATCACATGGTCATTGTATATTTTAATCTTTTATCCAAAGGTGCCAATATGTAGCATGTTTTACATTCTTTAGATAAAGTAGATATTGCTCATGATAGGCTCTCGTTTCCAGATGCTAGAAGGCCCTTTATTTTTCTTATGTCTGTTTATGGGCAGCAAAGTTGCAAATGCATATTGGAGGATTCAAATTTGGTAGGCTTTGGTTTCCTGTCATTTTTGACAGGCTTTTATGCTAGCCTTATTATAATGTAATGTTACACAGACATCAATCTAAAGATCGTGTTTCACTGGTATAGGGCTTTAAATACCATAAGAGCTTAGTTTTTCATAGGTTGAAGTTTTCATATTGAGAATGTTTCTGGAAGATTTTAACTGGTTAGAATTGGGTATTTTGTTCTAGATACTTTCATGTGTAATAAAAAAAAGTTACAAAGTTTTTGTTTTTTGAAATAAAAATATTGCAAAATAGGTTCTAGTTGTTAGTTTTAGAAAAAATAGATTTAAGAAAGAAACCATGTTCAACATGATTACATTAGTCCCAGGCTTTGTAGCTCAAAAATAGATTTAAGGAAGAAACCATGTTCAACATGATTACATTAGTCCCAGGTTTTGTAGCTCAAAAATAGATTTAAGAAAGAAACCATGTTCAACATGATTAAATTAGTCCCAGGTTTTGTAGCTCAAAAATAGATTTAAGGAAAAAAATCATGTTCAACATGATTAAATTAGTCCCATGTTTTGTAGCTCAAAATAGATTTAAGGAAGAAATCATGTTCAACATGATTACATTAGTCCCAGGTTTTGTAGCTCAAAAATAGATTTAAGGAAGAAACCATATTCAACATGATTACATTAGTCCCAGGTTTTGTAGCTCAAAAATATATTTAAGGAAAAAAATCATGTTCAACATGATTAAATTAGTCCCAGGTTTTGTAGCTCAAAAATAGATTTAAGGAAGAAACCATGTCCAACACGATTAAATTAGTCCCAGGTTTTGTAGCTCAAAAATAGATTTAAGGAAGAAACCATGTTCAACACGATTAAATTAGTCCCAGGTTTTGTAGCTCAAAAATAGATTTAAGGAAGAAACCATGTTCAACAAAACTGACTGGGTTCGTAATCTGTCTGCTGTAATAAAAAAGTACTGTTTACAAAATTCATGGCCATTAACAGAGTCATGACAGTGTAATTCCAGTGAAACTGTGACAGGTTTGCTTTTTGGTTATAAATTTGTTTTTGTCCAAAGAACTGACTCTTAAAGTTTCTGAGAATAGTTGGTGCTCAGAACAAAAAGGTCAATAAACTGAGACAAGTGTAAACTATCAACGAAAGGCTTAGCTCAGGATTCAGTAAAGGAATATCATTCTAAGGTTGGATTGGATATCATCCACATCCTAAAGCTGGATTGAATATCATCCACGTTCTAAAGCTGGATTGGATATCATCCACGTCCTGAAGCTGGATTGGATATCATTCACATTCTAAAGCTGGACTTGGATACATCTACATCCTGAAGTTGGATTGGATATCATCTACGTCCTGAAGCTGGATTTGATATCATCCACGTTCTAAAGCTGGATTGGATATCATTCACATTCCAAAGCTGGACTGGATATCATCCACATCCTAAAGCTGGACTGGATATCATCCACATCCTGAAGCTGGACTGGATATCATCCACATCCTGAAGCTGGATTGGATATGAAATACTAACATACCAACATAAAATACCAGAAATTAAAAACTCAAACTTCAGTTATGTAAGTAGGTCATGATTGGTTCACTTTCACTACTTAGTTGAGTGTAAGTAAGGTCAAAAGGAAGTGTAAAGGTCACCTCTACATTCCAAAACAGGACATTTATAATCACCTTATGTCAATTAGCAAAACTAATTAACATTACTAATTCACTGAAATATTTTAAAACTACTTCATCCAGGTATTGTTGATGTCAGGTGTGGGGAATATTAACCTTAAAGTTATTCAACTTTCCACCAGGAGGCAATACAAAAAATGACTAGCCAATCAAAAACTGTCTGAAACTTTGTTAAACATTAATTATAGAACTTACCATGTTATAATACGAGTAAATATTTCCTGAAGGTTTTAGAAATACAAGTTATAAAAATTATTGAATCTGTATTTATGTAGTTAGAATAATTTTTGTTGTGATTTATTGCGAGTAGAGAAATAACAGCCGAGAAATGAATTAACTTGCTATTAGGGAAATTATCTTCAAATTCAATGGTTCATCAAAATTATCTAAAATTATTATATAGATTTAAATAGTCCAAATAATTATACCATTAGGAATACTAACTCCTCATCTCCATCATTCAGCAAAGTTAAATCTACTGAATAAGATATTAAACACCATTATTTTCTTACTGACTTGCACATTGTAATGCCAACAGAAATATAACTCAGTTAAAATCCACAGATAGTTTCACCATGTGCTTTTATAACAGTTTATTTACCACTAGAGGGCAGTAATAGTGATTAGTTAAAATTGGGGGAAACTGAGTATCTTAAATAGATTATTCAGTGATCTTCATGTTACACAGTTAAATAAGATAGGTTTTTTTTTCTCTTGTTATAGTGTATGTGTGTGTGTAAGAAATAATATGTTAACATTAATAACTCAAACACCATATGATTTATTTGACAATGACTGAAATGTTTAGATATGGTTATTTCCAATAATATCACGATAAATTATAAATACGCACTAACCTACTGTAGTATGGCCTGTATTTTTTTTATATCTTCAATTATTCTTAAACTACACAGCATGTTTTAATGATTTTAAAAATCGTAATCATGCAAATCCTGTTAATTTAAATGTTCCACCAGTTGTTCTAGGTTACTCCATCAAACTTCCAATTTGTCTGTAGATGATCAAATACTTGGTAGTGATTAATAATACTGATGATTTAATCTTGCAGTTAATTTGTTTCTGAGATGTGGGTCTTGTTTTTCCTTTTGTTGCAGAACCTTAATGAACTGATCTCTTTAGAAAGGCCCGATTGGCAGTCCATCATGGCATATGTTACGTCTCTGTACAAGCACTTTGAAACTTAGAATTGTTAATTACCTGTGCAAGCTGTGGGACCAATCCTGATGAAGAGTTTCTTGTGTTGGACTTCCTTACAACAATGAAGACTTAATTTTTTTGGAGTTGAATATGAATGATTTTTTTTTGTTTCAACTGCCAACTGCGTTCACCCACTGTTTTAAGTCCTTTTTTTTTTATGTATGTGTATACTGACGTTTTCCAAGATCATCACAGTAATGGAAAGTTTGAAACGTGTTAAGTGCCATTTTATTAAGGTGTTTATGATGAAAAATAGTGTTACTGTTGCCCTTAAAACTTCTTTACTCTGTAAAAGAAACGGAGAAACAACAGTGTGAAATCTGTTTACGTGATATATGTAAGCACAGTTGATACAAGTATTGTGTAACTTCCTAGCATGGATGAGTTATGATACCCAAGGTACGGATAGCAAAATACGTGTGAAAAATAGCTTTTTGTTAATTTAAACGGTTCATTAGAACAAACTTAAAAGGCAAAACTTATCGATAACTAAGATTTGACCACATAAATATAATCTGGGCTAAACGTATAAAGTGGGTGTTTGGAACTGAAAAGTGTAAGATTTGTGATAAGCTGTTGCCAGTGATTAAAGCCTACTAATTAGAGAAATACGTACATTTACCATTCACTGGATGAGTGTAAACTGCAGATGTGGATGTCCAATAGTCAAAAAGTGGGTGACCTCACAATGGTCATTAAAGCTTAAACTGATCAGTTTCCCATCATTCCTAGTCACAACACGGATTTTTCTGTTCAGTTCTATGGTTTTAGTTGATTTCCCACTACAAGTTGACCTGGGGGGAGGTTAGATGAAAGAGTCCAAAAATAGGGTAACCGCTTGCTTGTTACTCGAGAGGAAGGAAATCCCAAATGTTATAAATTAAAACGTACATGCATGGCATCAGTCTTGAGAAAAGTATGGCTGCCCAAAACTACAGATTTCTTTTTTAAATTTATCTTATTGGTTTGTTACATTACAAGCTGAAATGTCCATAAGTTGGTAATGCCCTGAAGTTCAAGGGGGGGAAGTTGTTATATACATATGGTAGAGTAAGACACAACTATTTATTTTTGTTTCAAAAGGAAATTGATCATTCAAGAAACATCTTTTTTGGTAAATATATATGTTTTGGGGACTTGATTGTCAGATGTAAGCCGCGATAAATTATGTCATTGTTTCTTAGTTTGTAGAATATGTGAAAGTCTCCAGTACTTAGAAATATTGGGCAAGTCTATACGTACATAGGTGGAATATTTTCATCCGTGAACTCTATGTGGTCACTAGTGATGGTAGTTCCGCGTGGTTGGTGTATATCGTGATCAGTATTACATACCAGTATTATCAAAACAAGGTCAGTGGATTCTACTTCACTGACTTATCTTCATCGGACGGAGAAACGGTGCGATAAGTCGTACCGAATTATTTGTGAAAGCTATGCACTAAATAAAAGGTTTTTAACGTGTTAAACAGCTTGATGATTTACGAAAGCGACCCCCTCGACTAGGAGGGGTTTTGTTGGTGCGTGATTTCAGTAGTCTCTACTCAAAATGATATCACTCGCTCGATGTTTTGTATTCTTAAACATCGAAGTTAGCTTTACTTTTTAAACTATTAATGAAATAACAGCATTGTTGAATGCTTCTCATCGGTTTATTCTTCGTATTCTTGCACATGAACAAAATAATGCTGTGGATTATTGTTGGAAAATTGTATTTTTTTTGGCAACCTGTTAATATTTTCGAGTATGTAAATATTTAAATCAGTAATAAAGCTTCTTAATTTGAATATAAAAAAAAAATGGATCCTGCTTAAAAAAGTTTTAATTTATGTCTTCTGTTTACAAAAAGCACACTGGAAACCAAAGGAAAGGTGTAATATTATCATTTATTTTATTTTATTTAAAATTTAACCTATTATGTAAAAGAACTTAAGAATATAATAAGTTATAAGAAAACCCCTCTTAAGGTTTAGTGTTATAATTTAAACCAATGTTCTTCTCCCATCTCGTCCAATTGCAGGGCATTCATCTGTTAAAAACAGTAAGAAATGATATCTAATTAGTGTTATAATTTAAACCAATGTTCTTCACCCATCTCGTCCAATTGCAGGACATTCATCTGTTAAAAACAGTAAGAAATGATATCTAATTGGTTAACTCCAAGTTTTTTACGTGATGCATTTCTCTGTGAGTTAATTGGTTGTGCTTTTCTTAGACAGTTGCTAGTAATGGTTTCAAAACCACAGTTACATTTCGTTGTAATCAAGACCATAATGATGGTTAACTGGTATTTCAGCTCTTGCTGTGTTTTTATGTGTCTTAAACGTTTGTTTAAAGTTAAAGTGAAGAGAAGAATAAAAAAACACATTTTGTAGCTGACAAACTCTGTGATGGTGCTTGATGCCTAATGAAACAGCTGTGCACACCAAAATAATTTGATCCAACCTCCCGCTTGGGGATTGGCCATGTAGTCTTATCAAGTTGGCAATCTGTCAGATTAACGTGCAAAAGAAAACTATGCGTTCTGAGCCATTAATGAAGAGCTCTGACTACCAGGTTTGGCCTGATCATGTCCAATGTTGTTCGTCTGTTTAGTTCAAGCAGCTGCACAACTTAAAGTTGGATAATAGTCCTTTTTTACTTAGTAATACTAGTCACCAGTCCTGTAATACTTGTCATCAGTCCTGTAATACTAGTTGTAATGTAATACTTGTCATCAGTCCTAGGACTGGTGACTAGTATTATAGGACTGGTGACTAGTATTAAAGGACTGATGACTAGTATTACAGGACTGATGACTAGTATTACAGGACTGATGACTAGTATTACAGGACTGATGACAAGTACAGTTTGAGATTTTCCTAAAGGTCCCCCCCACCCCCATCCTTATTTTTTTAATGGTGGTAGTAGCTTTACGATACAGCTTCCATACGTTGTATAAGGCTGGCCCCAGAGTAGTATACCAAATGTAAAATGTATACAAGTATGGCGCCCAGATGGACAATGGATAAACGAGTCTTTATGCTGAAAATCAAATGGTATCCAGAGTTTATAGTGCACACTGGGAGGATTTAGACGTTTTGGCAGTAAAGTAAGGAGGAGAAGGGGGGACGACCTTTACTCTCAAGATCATAATAATAAGTGTTTCAGTCAACGTTTCGCCATTGCGGCTTCATGAGGGTTAGTAGTACAGGAATTGTTCTGGTACGACTAACCCTGATGGAGCCGAATTAACGAGTTATTATTATTTTTGTTAATCTGGAAAGTAATGGCAATTTTTTTATCCACATAGAAGATACTTAGTGGGGAGGCAACTAACTTTTGGGTCACCGTGTTGTTGAGCAGTGTTTAAATAATTGTGGACCTTTTATCAGTATTTGTATGTGCCATAAAAGGAAACAAACGGAAGAAGCAACAGTGGTTGAAGTGTAATTCTGCAGTAAAGTTGTGTAAAAGCATAACATACGTTAAAAGGTGTAATTTTTGTATGTGGAAGAAACAAAACATAAATAATCCAAGTGAACAACAACAACAACAAAAAAACTTTATTGATGATGTAGATCCTTCGTTATATTTTCAGCGGGGAGAAACTTGACTAGCTAGAGATTTGTTTAATGGTTCTTTGGATTATAATGCTTTCTTTATATATGTATAGATACATTTTCGATCGTTTCTAACTTCTTTTTTTATGTCTTATTTTAAACAACCTTGTTAAAATGAGTAGTAGAGATGTAAAATACATCTGAGCTGTCCCCCTCCCCCGTGGCTCAGCGGTAAATCTGAAGGATTATAATGCCAAAAATCGAGTTTCGATACCCGTGATGGGCACAGCATAGATAGCCCATTGTGTAGCCCTGTGTCTAGCAAGAAACGAGAAAAATACGTTATCAATTAAAAAAACAGAGAACGCTACGTTAAAATAGCTCTGGTCTTTTTAAGAAAGTACAGTTTTTTTTGTCAGCCCAGACTACGCACTTTAGCTAGTCCTTACTTTAGTTTCAGTGGTGTAATAAATACCTTTGTTAGTCGTGTGTGAGAGAGAGAGGTATGGTTAAATATGCAAGAGACATTTGAATTATTTTATTAGTTATTTATCCGTCTACAGAGCTTCTCAGTCACTGTAAAAATTGTTATTATGTGACGGTGTGTGAATAAAGACTGATTTGTTTGCTGTGTGTTGTTTGATTAGTAATTTCCAACAGAAGTTTTCATTCCATAAACCGATGATTGGTCAAGCCAAGGAAACGGTTATGTATTTAGTATGTTAACGTTCGCGTGCTGTCGCCACGAGAGAATCGAACTAGAGTATTAAACCTAGCCCAGGATTGGGTGAAACTTGTGATACACGAACCTGAGAACTTATAACAGACATACCATTTAGAATCGAACTAGAGTATTAAACCTAGCCCAGGATTGGGTGAAACTTGTGATACACGAACCTGAGAACTTATAACAGACATACCTTTGTGTAGCGTTGCGTGTAGTAACAAACAAACACGATCCTCTGGTAGCTCGGTGGTAAGTCTCGTGGCTTACAACGCTAACATTCGGGATTCGATACCTGCGATTAACAGAACTCAAACAGCCCATTGTGCTTAATGAATAGACACAAACTTGTCGTAGTTAACTTTGTGTATGTGTGTGTTACTTAACTAGAGAACATTGTGTTATCCAGTGAGGATTTGTAAACTTTAAATAATATCTTGAAGAGAGTTAGGTAATGATGTTGTGGCTAGAGAAATTCCCAGACAAATATGATCGCTGATTTTTCAACTTATCCATATCTAACTGAAAACTCAACTGTATTTATAATATTCTAATTGATTTTAAGTAAAAATTGTAATAAAAATGACTGTCACCGAGTTGTAAATTACGTTAATTTTGAGTTACTGTAGAGGAATTGATCACAAGTATGTCAGATTGTATCGTGGTTTAAACGTAATTTCACATTTGTAATCCTCCAGTTTGTATTGAAATCAACGTAATATTTGAAATTAGAGACTTGGTTAGAAAAGCGGGAGGTTTAAATTTGATTGGTGGGTCGATGTATTTGACGTTTTCTTAGAAACTGATTTCGGCTTTCAATTGTTTACCCAGAATGCAGCGTGTCATATAACCTGGAGCCCGACATGGCCAGGTGATTAGGATGCTCCACTCGCACTCTGAGGGTCGCGGGTTCGAATCCCCGTCCCACCAAACATGTTCGCTCTTTCAGCCATGGGGGTGTTATAATGTGATGGTCAATCCCATTAATCGTGGGTAAAAAAAAAAGAGTAGCCCAAGAGTTGGCGGTGATGACTAGCTGCCTTCTCTCTAGTCTTACACTGCTAAATTAGGGACGGCTAGCGCAGATAGCTCTCAACAAACCAAACTGTATTGCCCGGGCTGGTCCTTCAATGCTCATCCACCTGTGAGAAAAAATCGTATGTACGTTGATGATGATGGACATTTAATATTTTACGTCTGTTCACGTGTTTATATTGTTTAGTTGAACACGTGTGAATGTTTTGTTTTTACTTAAATTGAAGTACTGCTTCTTTAATTACAATTTCACTTTTTACTGTATTCTGGAACTGAACACTGCCCAGTGGCTAGCGTGGTGGACTGTGGTTCGAGTTCCGTTGCCGCGAGAAAACAAAACTCCACAGTTTAATAATAAGATAACCTAATATTGTGTTTATTAGATAGTAAAAAAAAAACGAGTAAGCGGAACTCACTGTAAGAAGTCTTGGTGCTAGAGAAACTAGTTTCGACACATTCATGTGTACCTTTCAGTCTCACGTCGTCAGAAGAGACAGCCTCCCAGTGGCACAGCGGTATGGCTGTGGACTTACACTGCTGTAAACCGGGTTTCGATACCCATGGCGGGCAGAGCACAGATAGCCCTTTGTGTAGCTTTAGTCTTAACTACAAACAAACAGAAGAGACTGTGTCTAAGTAGGGCATGATTAAAGAAACAGTTTTCATCGGAACACCTAACATAGTAATAGCATGGGTATTTAGTTTTCAGGTTTTTTTTTATGGATTATTCTACTTAGAAACGACAACGGAAAACTATATACTCTAAACATTTGTTTAATATTCTTAGCTCCTGTTTCAAAAAGGTTTTCATTTCTTGATATTATAAACGCTCTGTAAAACAAGGTTTTAAACAGTTTTTTTTATTAAACTAAAGAAGTGTGAATATAGTTCAGTGGAAATGGGTTTATGACACACGTTTGTTGTAACTATGGCCTAGTTATTTAAGACACGGACATCATCTGAGAACGAGGGTTTGTCATTATGTTGATTTTGAACAGTAAACTTTATATTGTGATGTTTATCATTAAAAGACTGGAGTAATT